TTCAATAACAAATTAATGTGGAAGGTTGTAGCTCTTGAGTATGATGATGGGAATGGAAATGAGAATGAAAGTGGGAATAGAATGAGAATGAGAATGCAAATGCGAAAGAGAAGATGTGAAGCGCATAGCAGCTACAATTATGTGCTTTATAAGTCTACCATTACTATTGTTATTATTATTATTATTATTATTATTATTATTATTATTATTATTATTATTATTATTATTATTATGAGCACTAAAATGATGATGAGCATAAGTATAAGAAAATAAATGATTGAGAAATATAATTGTAATTATGATGATGGACTAAATTAAAAACTAATCTATTACTTTTGGATATTTTTGTAAATATGAATATTTTTTGAAAATCGAATCTTCACGACTAATAACAAATTAATGTGGAAGGTTGTAGCTCTTCTTTGGAATATTTGACAAAAATTTCGGACATCAAGAGATAGCATAAAACTTCAGGAAAATCGCCAATCAAATGTAGGGAGAGTTGGAATGTCTGTGTGGGGCCTGCACTCACCTCAGTTTGTAAGTCTTGTAACAACAACCATAATGCATTGTCCAAATCAAACCAACTTGATAAAACATCACCGAATATAAAATTTGATTCTGTTTGTCCCCATCGCATTGCAGCCCTTGAAGCTAATATAATAATGAAATATAACATAATTTAAATACAATTTTTTACAACAAAAGAAGATTTTAAAAAAATAATGTACCAAAACTAATAAAGAAATTTGCATTAGAATTTGGCGTTATGGTTGGAAAACACAATATAATCAGCTTTTTGTACCACTAAGCAGAATTTAATCTTTTAAATTTAGTGCAATACAAATAAAGATACTGATTGAATTACGGAAATTCAGCAACATTTCAATGTTGACTAAATACAGTACGTCTATTTATAGTAAAACAGAACAAAGGGATTTTCCTCATTGAAATAATAATAAATGTATTAGCCAATTTCCAGTAGGAAATATTTGGCTCCAACTAAAGGAAATCATTGAAACAATTAAAGAGTAAAAAATACATGTAATAAAAAAAAAAATCATTAAAGGAAAATTATCAAGTAAAAGAAAAAAATGTGAAAATCATTTCGACGACAGTGAGACTCAAACTATGGTTGCAATGGTATCAACACTCTGACCGCCAGCGGTTTGCAAAAATATATCAGCCACCGCCAGACATTTTAGCAAATTTTAACACTTTTCCGAAGCTCGTTGAGAGTGTGTATGTGAGCAGATTGGCATGTAGTGAACACTACAAGAACTACAAACATGTTAGCTTTACAATGGTACCAAACATTTTATTCTAATCACAATCGGTGACCCGTAACAGTAAAATGAAAATGACTCACTTTTGGAGATTTAAGCAATTTTGCACAACGAAGCTGAGATAATAGCGATTTTGTGAAAGTAAATCAATACCGCACAACTCTAATGTAAACAAACAAATAGTGAACTACTTACAGTCCAGACTGAATAAAGTGTTCAAATTGTCAGTACATGTTGGTAATTACCCCATCTATCGGATTCCGTACAAAAACCTGAAACACAGAGATCTCCGGGTTTGGCAGTTGAGCGTTGCGTTGGTGGCCAGAGTGTTAAAAAGCGAGGTTGATGTGGATCGTTATAGGAAGTTAAACTGTAACCAATTGCACCATAGAACCCGACCCTGCAGAGGTCTTACTGTAGGTATTCAGTCTATCTACCTTGTGTAAATTCTTTTATGGAAATTTTATGTGTAATACTTTAGAAAATGCAAAGTGCATTGATCACCTGTTCATTTATTCAAAATATGTAGAATGACATCATACTTTAATATGCACATTTTTGATATGGTCTTTGCTTTTGGACAAAGTTTGAAGACATTTTACGCACGGAAAGTGACCAATGCGGAGGACAGATAAACCTTGTGAAAAAACATAGTAAAATGGGATAGAGAAGAAGAAAAAAATATATCAGAACAAAAACAATGGCTTTTTCCCTGGTGCGGGGAAAAGTCAATAATAATATTTATAAAAAGAATATTTCTCTATTATTTGCTCACATTCTAGAACTGATTTCTGCATTTTAGCAAGGGAGTCTATAAGTGTCTTCTGTAGGAATAAGACTTCATCCAGTACAGGTGCATGGGTAAACTTTATCATCAACTTCTGGAAGTTCCTTCCAACTTTGCTTGCTGTCATCGTGGTCTCTCACTGAAATGTAAAATCCATAAATATTTTGTAATTATTTGATTCAAACAGGCAAGCAAAAGAGTCCTATCACCTAGAAAGTTGGGTTTGATCGAGATATATTGTAGGGGCTCGACTGATATATTGCATGAAAAGTTACTGGAAACTTAAAATTCAAATTGAGGTTTTAATCTTTATTGCTTTTCAGTAATATTTGTTTATAAAATAAGGATTTTTTTAAAAATTAAAATAATGTAATTGCTAAATATTTTAATACTTTATATATACATGCATTACATACAAATATTGCATATGTGTATTGATATGTACTGTATGACACTGACAGAAAATAACACCAGAAAACAGAGTAGACTTTTAAAACACAATTTTTATTCTCAAATGAATATTTCGACCTGACCTCAGTTCCTCCTGCATGACTTATTTATAAACACTACTGTATGTACAAGTTGGCCCAATAATTAGTAATAGTTCAGAGTTAATTATGACTTAATTATCATAACAAAGGGTATGAACAGTTCTATATTATAATTTTGATGTGTTATTATTATATATTTGATTATATTGTGATATTTTCTCTGGCCTTCATTATAATGAAGGCCAGAGGACTGGCCAAAAATTTCTTTCAAAACTAATAGGGGAGGGTTTAGTTAGAACACAATTTCCAAAATGTCCATATCTACGGTAACTCATCTAAGAAATGAAGTAGAAGTTCATACTGTAATGTGTCATACTGTAGATACAGCCAAAACATTTTTTATATTTGTTGATGATTGCTCTTACAGTATACGTTAATTGACACAGAAACAAGCTCCCTCAAGTGTTCCGACTTTAACCAGGAGCATATCCAGTAGGGGGGCATGGGGCACGTGTCCCACCGTTTTGCCACTAAATTTTAAAAGTTTCAACGCAAATCAATGTTCTGTGCTACTCATTTATTGTTTAACTGTCGGATGCCCCCACCCCCCACATTTGAAAAATTCTCGATCTGCCCCCTGTATACCGTGGGTTGATGATCGAAAACGTTCAATTCTGTGACCCATCAATCCGGGCTACCTGGCTTTTGCAAAAAAATGTCAATACTATTAAATTGTAACATAATTTGATTGTCGGCAATCATGAATTTGGGGAAACTGTAACTAAAAATGAGAATTTATATCAAAAGTTGCTATGTAACTATAGCCAATCAGAAGACGACTAACAATGAAGTTTGGCTTAGCTACAAGGCCCTCAGCCAATCACAAACTACCTTCTATGCCGTTTGTCCAATGTAAATAGTAAACAACACACTCCACTTGCAAGTATGGCGTTGGACAGAAGTTCTTCAAATGATAAATCTGAGCCGGTTTCAGGCATATTTTTGTGATACATGTTGGAAGAACATAGAGTATGGTTGTGTCATTAAGCGAAAACAGCTTAAAGTGACTGTACTTAGGCTAAGTAATTCAGGCTTAATTTGATTTTAATATCTTCATGAAAAGAATATAACAAAATTATTATATAAATAGTACAGTATGCTTTATCTACATAGGAATCCTTAGACAAAACATAACAAAAAATATATTAATTAATAGGTATTAAAACTAACTTAAGCAAATAATATTTATCAACACTTTGATGTCCAATTAAACATCACCACCTGCATTTAATATTGTATTATAGTGATACTACTTATTTTTCTTTTCTTTCTTTTTTTTTTTTTTTTTTAAACAACCTTTGATTAAAAAGAAACAATTTGATCATTAAAACCATCACAGTAGCATTGATAAGCTCTTTGAATTAGTTTGTTTAATTAATTTTCACAGACCACATAATCAAGTGAATGGAAGTTGATGAACCACAGCCAAAGCAATGCTCATTCTGCATCACCTGAAAGTTGAAGTCAAGAATTAAAGAAGTGCTTCCTGGTCGAAGTCATGTTCTCCCATGTATTTTTTTGTTTAAAAACAATAATATATTAAGTACTTTTAATAGAGCAAAAACCATTGAGAAATTAGTAAGATGTGAAACATTGAGTGGTGGAATTAGTTGAGGCTGCTATTGCAAATCAGGATGAAGCCTTGTCACTACCTGTACATGAGGGATAAGGATCTGGTGGCAGTTCAGGCCATATTATACTGTAGGCCATGGATAGAAACAGGAATCAATTGAAAGTATTGTAGTCCTATCAGATTGGAACTGTATACTGTTTGTATGAATGTTGTTATCTATTTGATATGACATCATACCATACACTGTGTTGAGAAATATTACCAGATACTATTAAGGTTTTTCCTTTTATGAACATTTATTAACAACACATTTATTTTCTTTATAAAAATTTGCATTGACTTTTTGAATTGCATTGTATTGTATTTTACAATGCAATATGAAAAAGAAGAAAATAACAGAACAGTACTTGCTGATAAATGATAATGAATACAATAAAACTTTCATTATTTCTAGTTTCTTTTAAATTGTTTATGCTAGTTGGCTGCATTGATAATATTATATAATTGTAATATTTAACACATGTTTTTAAGTGGATTGGATTGAACTCTATATTCAGCTATGTTTAAAGCAGTTCTGTGTAGGTATATGATGTGCTACAGTGTTTCAATAATATTCATATAAAAGTTCAGATTTTTGTCATAAACTTCTTTCAACCTTGTGTTTACTGTTGTGTAGTTAAATGTATATACCCAGTGAGTGATCAGAGAGATAATGAAATTGCTGATGGGATGCAACCAGGGAGATGTATTACATCTCCCTGATGCAACTGGCTGAACTGAGGTATATTAAATATTTATTTGTTTCACCTTATTGGAATCATCAATTGCTTTACTTTTGTTCATTAATTCAATCCATATTATCAAGGTCTTCAAGCAGTTAAACAAAAATCAACAGGCATGGCAAGAAATACTGATTAATGTTATTATTATTTACATTGCATGCAAATAAAAACAGTTGAAATTTTACATCAGCCTCAACGTGTTCTTATTTTTTGAAGTAATTCAGCCTCAGTTTTCTTTTAAAATGTACATTTTTTTAATTATAGAAAAAAAACAAAAAAAACAAAACAAAAAAAAAAGCAATTCCAAATAGAATCAAAATATATTATATATTTACTGGAATTTCCTGTCTCATTCAAAGTCGATGAACATTACTTCTTGCCCTTCCTACTATGCATATGTAGGCCTAAATAAGTAATACAATACACATTCAGTACAGCATGGTCGACTTTGGCTTAAAAAACTACGGTATGACAGTCGACAGAAGACGGGAAATGCAATTTGCTACCTCTAAAATCTTACAACTATTACCAATGTATTTTATTTAAAGGCTGGTATACTTAAATCATATTGAAATATTCCACTAAAACCGGAGAACTTTCGTCCAAATTGCTTCACATTTTCACTTTCCTCGCGACATTGTTTACATTAGTTACCGAGTTTACAAGAACGTTAGTGATTGGCTAATAGCGTTTCATCAATTGCTTAACAGGTATGGTAAGTGTGCTGTGATTCGGTACTGCTTTCATGAACGACATTATTTTTTCGAAGATAAATTCTCATTTTTGGTTACAGTTTCCCCAAATTTACGATTGCCGACAATTATATTATGTTTCAATAAAATAGTATTGACATTTTTGTGCGAATGCCAAGTAGCGCGGATCGGTGGGTCACAGAATTCGTAAACTAAGCCGATTTTGGAGCCTCAACCCACGGTCTACTGCTTACCCCACTTGTGGAGGGGTAAGTTGAAACATAGCATGGGGTTAGTTGAAACATAGTGTAGGATTATAGTAAAACATTTAAATTACAACATGTTCCAACTAAACCCATATTAAAGGTCCAACAAGCCCCATGAGCACATGAGGTGCTTTCAAACACGCTTCACAAAACAGCACATTCCATAACATAAATACCTGTAGTTAGCCTTATTTTGTAGCTTTGTACAAAAGCCTAAATTACAGTACTCATGAACTATCCAACCTAATCTATGAACACCATATAAGATTACAAAATGTTGACAATTATGAAAAAATTTACTTAGAAATTAAAAAAACACATATACAGTACAGTATCCAGTGACATTAAAAGTGTTGTAGCCCCAGTCCTGTATGTAGTCAACGGATGGCTAAATGATTAATACAGTACCTACCATCTAGTGGTGGTGTACTAACAAATGTATTTACAGTACCTGTATGTCCCAAAATTTCAATGTTTCAAAACCCTGCGTTCCAACTAACTCCACTCTCCGATTCCCTACAGTGTTCTAGTGTACATGCCTTGTCATAATTTCTTGTTTCAATGACTGATTAAATGTATACATACTGTACTGTATATATGTACTGTATCATATAAAATAAGATTAATACAAAGTAAAAACAAATAAAATGTTGACATTATAGACATAAACATATTTTAATTTGAATATTTTGAGCATTCCAGTGCTCTTCCCCAGCGATAACGCGTATAACTATAAAAAAAATCTTTAAAATCTGGCAAACGAGAATAAACAATATAATATACTAATAAAATCAAACATGTAGCTGCATTGACGACAATTAAAATAATAGTAAAATGCATGAAGCAAAGGTGTTTAGTTGCTGTAACTTTTAATGGTACAGTATGTTAAACAAATGTTTTCAGGCATCTGCCATTCATCAGGTGGTACAGATAGAAAGTAGGCCTAATATATATGTGTATGTGTAATATAGTATAAAATGGGGATGTCCGCATTATGTATACTCGATTACTTTCTACAGTATATGTACCTTCTATTGTACGTGTTAGAGTCACATGTCGATCAAACAGGAAAAATAAAACTATTGTGTTGTTCTTACTTGAAAATTCACCTATTCGAGAGGATATTCAACAAGGTTAGTTCTAGTAGGTAGGACATACAGTAGTTAACATGACTGCTCCCAGGTTTTGCGGCTATAAATACAGTATATAGTGGCCCTCTTACATTTTATTGAAAATATTTTGTAAAAGAGTAGGCCTACAGTATTTGGAGTTGGCTATAATTTGGTGTGCGTGAGCAGGGGTGGAGCCAGGATTTTCGCAAGGAGGAAGTGGGGGGAGGGCGAAGTCCTCGACGGCAGCAAAGTGGGCGCTGTTGGGGGTAGGTCAAATATTTTGAAAGTGGTCCAGAGTGGGGGTGGGACAAAGACAATGGGCTTTCAAAGGTTTATTTAATCGATTTTAGGCACTAATAAAATATGTAATGTAAAAAATACATTTTTTAAATTTTTTTCTCCCCGATGACAGGGACCCTGGGTCCCTTCCCCACTGCCGTCACCCCCACCCCACGTCACCCCTGTAGTTAGTGGATAGGCATAGCCTACTACTGTAGGGCTAGCCTAGGCAAACGGCTCTTTTTTATTTATCCTGCTTTTTTAGTTTTGTATTTAAAAAAATACTGAGTATTCGACTGTTAAAAGTTTACCCAGGGAGTTGTTATAGGCCTAGTGACACTATAATAACAACTCCCTGGTTTACCTATGAAACCTGGATTTCCTTAATTTTTCCCAAGGCGCAAGGAACATTACCGCCGGTAAGCCGTTGATCCATCAGCGGCTTGAGCCCAAATATCGCCGTGGGTGCATCATGATGGGTGCTGGTACATCACACTGGGCTCAATTATTGTCGCATCTGTTACCTGTCATTTTACATTACAGGTAACTTCATGATCCTGACGGATATCTTACATACATATGGGATGATACACCACAAGAAAAGTTATCTAAATCATTTCTCGTTATCTTCAGCAAATAAATTGTCAATACAAAGAATAAAATACCTTGTTTTTCTCTGGTTTTTTTTCGAAGACTTCTTTTTGCTTTGACGATGCGATGATTGAGTGGCACGAATGCTTTTCTTTACGACAGGAAAAATTACTTCCGTGTACAGCTAGTACCTTGCGGTTTTGTCGAAGGTTGAAAAGCCATGGCTTGGTGGTGGTGACGCATCCATGACAATAACTATTTCTTTTTGTTTTCTTTGACAAAATAATAGACATGTCCCTTGCGTATTTTTACAACTGGTGTTGTTGTATTAGATAGAGCATCGAAATGTCACAACTGAACATAAAGTTGAGTTTGAATATTGTCCAGTTGTCACTCAGGTAGGATAGGCCTAGGCTAACCTAATTCCAAAAATACGATGTGTTTGTTTTGATGTGCGGCGTGAAGCAGCCGGGCAAAGGCTTCACATAGCAGAACTTTTTGGCATTCCCAAGCAGAAAGAGGCCTTCCCAAGCAGAAAGAGGCCTGGAGTTGAGCAAAGTCGTGATGTTGCATGCGTAGGTAAGTTTTTATCATGTTTCGTAATTTATTTTTTACTATACACTCAGTGCTCAGCGTACTGAAGAATATCAAAGTATGACACGATAATAAGAATAGATCAGCATTTTATTTATTTAATTTTTAAACACTTTTCGTGCCTAGGCTATAGATAGATGGAATGGTGTGGTATACAAGTCAAAAGTAGAGGCCCTAAGGCTTAGGACTAGGGCCTACTAGCCTAGTACTAGTAGGCTAGGTAGGTAGTAGTATCATTTCATTGTAGCATTGCAGCAGTGCAGTAGCATATTGTTACTGTTCCAGGTACCGATAATATACAGATTTCTCTTTTTATAAAGTACAAGTTATGTTTTATGGAAAAGTATAGTAGTATAGTAAATCATGTTTTTAACACATGAAACTCTCATATATAGTAACTAAAACAATGCTAAGTGAGTCTAGAGTACTACTACTACTGCACTGTAATGCATACAGTAGGCCTATTTTAATACGCAGTGACTATTTTTACGACGAGTCGTGAATATAGTTCCCAATGCTATTCTTACGACGATCGCTAGTGCATGCGCGATAGCGTCCCTCGTCGCGGGGAAAATAAGTCTTGAACTGAGCGAACCGCGACGCAAATTCTAGCCTAGGCCCATCTCTAGGACCAGAGAAAGGCCACACAGGCTTGGTAGAGGCCAGCCTATGCAGCGGAAGAGCTAGGATTGAACTACATGTACGCAGCTAGGAATAGCATGGCCTACATTGATTGTAGGCCTTCATACTTGTATGTATACAGCACTCCCTTGTCTGGGGTGGCAGTATAAAACATGAATTTTTCAATTTTGTAAAACACAAAAATTAAACATGAAAAATTAATTAATGTGTAGCCTGGGCCTCCCTCAAACTATATATAGGCCTAACGGCCAAAAAGCCTACAAGATTGTATGATGTTCAATTTTGTGAATGCGAATCCCTCAATGGCTTGTATTCCTGGAAATTTATTACCAATTATTTTTATTTGATTACTGATCAGTGATATTACAGTTTATTAATTAAAAAATTATTTAGAGAAACAACGCAAATGTAAGTCGATTTTTTTAGATCAGTGATAGTTATTGTTTGTCATACGTTTGTTTTCTTATTTATTGCGTTTCCATTACCATTAATGTTCTGATCATATGTTTTCATTTTAGTACGTAACAGTACACTGTATCTATCCTGGTCATAAGGATAACAGTTGGTTTTAACGGAGTTGTTAAACCAGGTTAAACAAGAAATAAATAAATAGTATTGTGTGAATCTGTATTGAAAACTATGTTCTTTTCTTGCAGTTCCAGAAGTGAAGTGCGATTGGATGTATACAGTACATTTTTTTTAATAAAGGCTAATGTGTTTGTTACATTATTGAATTAATTTGTTCAATCAAATATCTGATTTTCGTAAAATATATGCAATAAGAAAGTATAATACATACACAAGTATTGAAGTACACACCATCGTGTTGGGATTCAATATTTTGACAATAATTAATAATTATTAGGTAAACGCACGTACGATATGTTCACTACCATTACATGCGTTGCACCTAAAAATAGCCAGTCGTCTATGTTTAGCATCTACCGTGTGGAAGTGCACCCACTTTCCTGAAGCTGGCGTGCAAAAATGTGTGTGCTTCCCTCAAGTGTACCGTGGAAATTTGTTTGTGGGAACATAACGATTCTTTCTGATACAGTATTTTTATAGTACATGGTTCAAGCAACTAGTACAGGTAATAGGCCTCATCAGAGTGAATTTAGAGTTTAATAAACATGTGTGTATTTATTGGTGTATTTGCTGCGAAGCAGCCAATTCATATTCTTGACAGCAATTTGACCTCTGAAAGGTCATTGTTTGTCAAAAAACAGGGCGCCTAAGACGACTGAAAAGCGGAGTTTCCTTCTTTCGTTCTGCAGGGTAAAATCAATTACTTTAGGCGACGTTTGTAGACTAACCTACACGTACCAACGTCCGCATGTCGCGCTAGCCTTATCCTACTCTAGGCCTAGACTAGCTAGGATGGTATAGGCCTAGCCTTGAAGGGACAAAGGTCCCAATGAAAAACAACATCGCTCCTTGATACAGTAGCATTATATATTTAACATCACAATAATTCATTATTAGACCTATAGTTGTTTTTTGAATTGTACTCCAAAAATCTCAGCCGATACCTCGCACAACTTGTTAACGTCTCGTATCTATTGTCGTGACGTCATGGCTCGCTGGCTCACACTTGTGATGTCTCGCACTTGTGATCAAATAACACGCTGGCTCGCACCTTGGCAACACTCTTTGGCAGTCAACTCGCCCCTAGAAAACCCGCCCTTGGAAACTTGCCCCATAAAAAAATGTACACTTCCTAGACCATGCAGTCTTCAAAATAAAAATTGTAACCTTTGCTAATCAACTACATTTTCCACATACACAGAAATTTTTGAAACTTTAAAAAAAACCTAAACCATAATTCACCACTATAGACACTTTTTGACAAAATGAAAAATTACGACTTTGTTTCCCAATGAGTGTTCTAATATAGACAATGGGTCGTGTCTCATATTATTTGTTATATTTTTATTATTCATTATTTTCACTTGACTCGCATAAATAATTTTGTTCGAAGAACATTTATATGCAGTTGTACTTCACAGCACTTCACTTGCAATTTGCAATTTCTAGTTGAAACAGTAGGCTAATCAGCCTACCTATGTATCCCAATGGAAATAAAAGATAATGAAGAGATGGGAACCTCTTGGGGGAACTTTAATAGTCCATCCCCTTTATCAAAGGGGCGGCGCAGCAGGGTCCAGAGGGGCAAAGGACTCCCGTCGGGAACATTTGGACCCCTGTTGGGGAATTTCCAGCAGGGTCGTTGGGGAATTTCCAGCAGGGTCGTTGGGGAAAAAATGAAATCTCGAGCGCCGAAATTACAATTTAAGCATGCCTTGCTAAGCTGTCAAATCGTAGGGATTAAAAACTGTGTAGTGCAGTGCTACGATGTGCGAGGTATTGTATACCGTACTGTTACGATCGTAAGGGTTGCAGTGGTGGTGCCAGCTCTTCCCCGACTGGGGGCTGGTACTTTTGACAGGATAAAAAATCCCATAATTAACACAAAATGTTATTTTTGAATAAAAAAAAAAATTCTCCTACGAATTTTATCGGGGAGCTTAGCCCTACTTCATCAAATCACAGCATTTTATTTTTATTTATACATAGGCCTATATGTAATATTATAAACATGATATGGAAATGCAGCAAACAAGAAAACAATCATATGCCAAAACAAATAACATGCTGATTTCATAAATCTCCATTTTATTAGCATTTTAAACATGGTCAAATAATCGGGAAACGCAACAATGACAATACTTGTCTCAAACCAATCAACTTGCATTTGCGTTGTTTCTGTAAAAAGAGAAAAATAACACCAATTAATAAACTGTAATATTATCAAATAAAAATAATTGGTAATAAAATTTCAGGAATACCGGCCATCGAGTGGGGATTCGTATTCACAAAATTCAACATGAAAACAATTTTGTAAGCTTAGCCGTTAGGCCTAAATATCGTTTGGGGTAAATAGGCCCTAGGCTCACATTAATTTTTCATGTTTAGGCCTAATTTTTGTGTTTTACAAAACTGAAATTCGTTTTTTATATATATACTGCCACCCACCCCAGGGAGCTGTTATGAAAGTATGAATGTGTAGGCCTACAATATTATTCCTAGCGTACATATCGTTCACTCCTGCTACCCCGTTGCATAGGCTGGTATCTACCAAGCCTGTGTGGCCTTTCTCTGGGCCTAGGCTAGATTTAGCATCGCGGTTCGCTCAGTTCAAGACTTTGTTTATTTTCCCCCGCGACAAGGGATGCTATCGGGCATGCGCTGGCGATCGTCGTAAGAATAGCATTGGGAACTATCTTCACGACTCGTCGTAAAAATAGTCACTGCGATTTTAATACACTACTTGAATAGGCTTTTCTTTTTCCATCTTGATTTCAGAGGTCAAAAACATTTTTAAATTTTTTTCAATCATATACAGTAGTGGTATAGAATTAAGTCTTTTGAGAACATTTTCGAGAAAAAATTAATGTGATACGATCCTCCGTTATGGATTTATGAATTTTTAGATATTAACCCTTTCACTGCGTGTACCCGGCAATACCGGGTATAAACACATATTGTTGAATTGCGCGTACCCGGTACTACCGGGTATGCAGAAAAAATATTGTTAAAAATCAGGAAGAGGTTCTGCGCCCTCTATAGTTTTTTTCTATGAACTATAATTAACCTTTTATCGGAAAAAAGTGTTTTCGAGTGGTTAGGCGCAAAATGGCGGGTGCACGGCCTCAAAACAGACGGTACAATGTCAACGAAGCTATGGACCAGATCTTTGCAGATACGGTTAGTGAAGATAACTTTGAATTGGATGATTCTTGCATTTCTTTTCCCCCTGTCAACTATGATAGTGACGACAGTGATTCTAAGGACGAAAACGATGATTCTCTCAACTTGGGAGGCCCTGCACAGGGTCAAGGTGGCAATGCCTTGTCCGCAGATTTCCTTTCCACATTTCACACAACAGGCTAATTTTTATAGTTCTAAAATAAAGTAACCGTATGATGTTTGCAACGATGCATTTATATTTACAACCTGGATTATATAAAGCATAAATAAAAACGTATGGCAAAAAGTACATCTAACAGTGATTTTCTGCAAAATTTTATATTTTCACAATTTTGAAGAAAAACTTTGATTATTTGCAGTTTTGGAATAAAACGATCAAACTAACTCATTTTTTTTTTTGTTTTTATTCACCTTGTGTGTCTGCATCATTATAAAGTAAAAAAAAAACATTCCATAAAAATTTCATTGGGAAAAATTGGGTTTTTTATCAAAATTTGAGAAAAAACAGAAATTCAAAATGGCGACTTTGAGGTCACATGACTACATAATTATGCAAAATACCAAATATCAATGTTCCTCGCGTAGGCCAACCTATTGCTCGCCCCAACACACAAAAAGAATTTCGAAATAACCTCTTTTAGTATTTTTTTTTAATTATTTTAAAAATTAACTTTTTTCGTTAAAAAAAGTCCCAGCACAGGGGGTGCATATACCTACAGCAGTGAAAGGGTTAACACGAGGACAAGAATTCAGCCTCATAAAGCTTATCTTATTTCTGTTTCATGGAAAAGGCGTATTAATGCAGTGCTTATTCAAGAGAACGGCACTTACTATTAATATATACAGTAATGGGCATGGCTCTTCTTGCCCGTTCCCATTCGTGATTCCATTTATTGTGAATGTCATAGGGGCATATACAGTAGTACCATACAAGTTTATTATTATTAGTCAATCATAACTTCATCACTACAACTGCCAAATGTTATTTTTCTATTCCCACACGGTTTGCTTGATCTTTCTTATCTTAGGTTCGTGTGCAAAAGACCAATTCAAACTTGTCGCCATATAGCGCTGAATTCTAGGCTATCTTCATAGCACTAAAGAAGACCCCCGTGTTTGTTGACAAGTGAAATTGAAAAAATGGCATTCGTCAAACAAGGTATATTAGAACTCGAAGAAAGTCACTTTAATTTCAGTATATGTATGAAAAATTTAAAAGGAATTCTTTCCTTGAATTAATGGACCCTAAGAAACTAAAAGTAACTTTGTTATTCATTTGAACACTGTAGGCCTACTGTACTCATTGTACTTAAAAACCATGTTTCTCAACAAAGTGTTTTATTATACACAGGAATGTATGTAGTCTCGATTAAGCGCTGCGGCTCTTATTCATAATAGAATAATCTTGATTAAATGCTGTGCAGCTTATTCCAGAGCGGCGCTTAATTCTTGATTCTTATGAGTCTTCTCAGCTTTTACCTTCATGAGAGATCAAAAGGTTTATAGGCATGATGAATTAGATATTGAGATGAGAGCATTGCCTACAGTAAGTTTAAACCTAGGCCTGTTGAGGGTTAAGAAATTTCTGTATATCCATTGCAGTCTTCTAAATTCTACTTTTGGCTGTCCAGCTCCATCTTTTTACAAACCTCTCAGACAATGAAGTCATCCTTATTTTTGTACCCTATTCAGACTACAGTACACTCTTCGTGGCGATTGTTTATGATGTACAGTAGGTGGTAATTCAAAACTGAATATTCCGATCGTAACCAATGAGCGCATTCAGACCAAATTTGACACAAAAAACTTTATATTGGAATGGGAGGTCAAAAGGTACTTCGGCAGCTAGACCTATATTGACTGACCTCAGCCAGTCAGTGCCTGTGGAATTCATTGTGATCAGATTCTGTGGTAATCGGGAGTAAACAATTGTAGCACCCGATCAGAATGGTTTAAACAACGGAAATGTTGCCTAATTACGGACGTACAGAAATAGACCAGAAATACTCAAAATATTAATTATTATGCCTAAACCCATAAATAACCTGTAACAGGTGTACATATTGTTTTTGTCCAGAACAAATGACTTCTCCCAAAAAAAAAATAAACTACAGTATAAATTTTCATCCTCACGGTTTTTGAAATTCCAGAGCTGTTTCACTATACAATTTGCATTCAAGACAAATTCTGAGGTGCTATTGAAATTTTTTATTTACTACAGATTTTTAAAGACTTGGGTAGGCATACTGCATTTTACTAATTTGAGAAGTCTGCAAGTGGGTGTGATTTAGTGTTGATTGATAATTTATTTGAATTTGAGTCATAAAATACAAACAAAAAACTATTACAAAAAAAATTGTACAAAAACATGACCCTAATAAACAAGAAAAAGCCCCAAAAAGTAAAACTTATTTCCATAGAGTCCTTGCAAACACAGAATGGTATGAATGCACATCAAGATGACAGAAAACAACAGTTTAAACCTAAGGCATAAAATGTAATAAAACATACTATATGACAAAATAGTAGCAATAGAAAATATTAAAACATTGTTCATCACTAAAAAGCAACAGTAATAGATGGCCGGAAATGGCACTCTCAGATTTAAATTTAAATATAATTTAATTTTTCCCCCCTCCCCTTGAATCTGCCACTGTCAGTCTCTTATTAATATTCATTGTCCTTGATTGTTACTAAATTGCATCAATTTTTTTTTATTGCGTATGATTACTGTATTATTTTGTACTTAGTACTGTAAAGTAATATCATTATTATTAATTATAATTATAAATATTATTTTTATTGTTGTTATTATTTCTGTTATTTTTACAGTTATTGACTTATTGTTTACATGTTGAAAAACGGTTGACGGAATCAAACATGTAAAATAGTGATCCTGTACAGTAATAATTAATTAAAGATTGAACCAAACTCAGAGGCTGAAACACCAAACCTCTGTGTTTATAATACCAAATGATAGTTATAAACAACATAACTATACAGTCTTAAATTAAAGCTAACACAAAGCACTGCATCTATAGTGAAGAAGCAAAACAATGTAAATTCTACTTTACTATAAATATTATTTAGACCAAATCAAAGCAATCCTGCATTAAACATACAAAAACCTGACAGTTTAAAGAAAAAGGTATTGGATAGGTAGTATACTACAGTACATGATACAGTATGTGGAGAGCTCCCTCGGGGCCCCTTCAATACTTGAAAGCTATCAACTTGGATTATTAATCACTGCTCGATATTAAAAATCCAACCCGATTGCAAATGTGTACAGTACACTGCGTGAGAGAGGACATCACACAACACCGGCAAATGTAATCAGTCGTGCATGTGCGACAATCATGTATACAAACATATGCTTTTTGTATGATGATATTTTGCCTGTGGTTAGCAAAATCTTGTTTGTAGCATAGCATGCAACATCAGGTATGCAGAACTGGTGTTCCCGCTGTAATTCTGTGTCACTCTTAGTCTGATTAATTCTCTTGACGGTAAGATCTAACAGTTTCATTTTCAAACCAGGTATCAGTATTGAATACCATATTTTAATGCATATTTTCTCAGAATGATTTCCTTGCCTGTACCATAATATTTGAGTAGAATACTATTTTTTTTTATCTTTGCCATTAATACATTGATGATGATGTAAAAAGGTTGCTAATACTGCGATAAATTATGTTGAGTAGTCACTTATACAAAATTGAGGCTAAAAACTAATAATGTGTGTACATTACTTTGAAAACTTTAATAAATAATTTATATTTCATATTCATAGGAATTCTTGATTGAATGTTAATTACTGTAACTAAATTATATTGATAGAATTATGTTCTAAATACAGTAATGATTGGTTGTTATGATATGTAACAATTTGATGTTATAAATTAATTGAATTTTTTCTCCAGCTTCATGGAGCTACATTAGCCCTCCTACAAGACAAATTTAATTTGCTCAAGATATTTTGTTGTTTTATTTTTAAGCATTTCTTGTTTAATTGATTCCATTTTAAAATGTCCACCTAGCATATACATGATAAAGAATGTCTTGATTGACAGAGGCAGATCCAATATGAGTGTACATAGGACCATTTGCCTCCCTGTTTTGTCAATAAATTTTGAAATGTTAATATACTGTATACAAATGCCTTTTATAGAAATAAGGAAAAACACACAATACATTCCCCATCCCATTAGAAAAATTCTGGATCCACTCCTGATTATCTTTCACCCCTCTCTCCCCCCCCCCCCCCCCCCAAAAAAAAAAAATTGGCTTGGCCCTGGACGAGCTGGCCCACACACTGGGGCGACCCCGGATAAACAAATGGTCAGATTTGCAAATTGATTCTTGATTCAAGACTTCTGTAGATCAAGTTGAATAAATCTTTGAATTAGATAATTGATAAGTAGAGTTGAAATGGCGAGCGAGTGGTCATTTGGTAAGTGAACAAATACGACTGATGGATATTGGATGTGATAGTATTGACGATAAGTAATGCGCTGCACTGATTTATGAATAGATTGAATCAAGATGGATAATTGACAAGTTGAAAAAAAGTAAAATACATCAATAGATATTACATTTGCTGATTGGTAGATTAAGAAAAACTGATTAATTGATTGATTGATTGATTTCATTGATATTATTTGAAAAATTTGTGATTATGGTATTTTTTTTTGTTTTTGTGGACATTTTAGTAATTCTTAACTAATTTTCATTTTTTTGTCTAATCAGTCCTTAACTACTGTAAGATAAAGATTTCTACTACCATAATTAACATGCTAAAATATCTAATAATATTAAGGTGGTGATGATGATACAGTAATTAAGACAAAAGGATGATTAAAAATATTCATCCTCATTTAACATTATTAATAATTATAAGTTATATTGTGATTTTTAATCATCATAATCATACAATTCAAATTTGTTTATTTAATTTTTTTTAAATAATTTCTTTAAGTTTGCTCTACAGGTACCTGTAGAAGTATATTATAAAATATGTTTTTAATATTATTATGTTAATTTACTGTAAGGAGAATTTTAAATTCAGCACATCGTTCAAGTGAACAGGAGATATTACTGCTTTCCAGCATTATCTGTATTTCTTGTTTAGACTTGCTGAATTTTTCTGTTTTTCTAAAACATGATGACAAAAATTGCTGGACACGGAGGGGATCCTTAGGGGTGGAAAAATTCACTGAATGAGCTGCTGCACTGTTATTACACATATCAAGCAGCATGAGTATCTTGTTTGACGGATGCCATAAAATATTAAATACTGTTAGTAGAAGCACTGGCCTCTTTTTTTTTATTAGAAAATGGGGGTTCTATTCATGGTTTCATATTATTTTGTCTAAAACCTGAAATTGTTTTCAATTATTATTTTTTTGTTAATTTTCATGTTTTCTATTTTCCACAGTGCTATATAATGAAGGTGTGGAGCCAAAGACTTGACCGGCCATTGAATATAATCAAGAAGCGGAAATCGATAATTGCCCTTACGCTCTTTGTTTTCTGTATCATATACATGAAAATTTATTATGTGTTTTCTAAGAACCAACTACAAAACTTTGAATTCCTGGAGTCACGGAAATGCCCTGCGTGCTATGGCACAAGTCTCTGCGGTAGCTTCCAGCGCGGTGAACTTGATCTTGAATCATTCTATAAATTCCGGCTACTCGATGTTGTTAATGTTAAGAACGTTTTCTTCGGCCGACACCAGGAGAAGTCAGTTGTGTTTAAAAAACTTGGTCATAACACGGAACTGAAGAAACTAGATGAGAAGATCTGTAAAAAAGCCAATTTAGAACCTAGTTGTGATCTTTCCCGTGTTATTTTCCAAACAGACCTTACAAATGCCATCAAGGATGGGAAGATCCATGTTGATGCAGTCAAGGGGTTGTCTGACATTGTTCGTTGCCCTTCTCAACGATTGCTTGATAGAATCTGGTCACGTTACCAGGAGCGATCATGGATTGGTGGAGTAAAGCATCACCAACAACTTAACCTTATAACAACATTACTTTTCAATCCTGAGCCTCTTATTTTACAGGTAGCCTATAAATTGTTTTTTCCCCAATTGCTCAATTAATTTTTATTCGTTTATCAAATTTTTAAAGGGGCAGTTTCAGAGAAAAATTTGGATATGAGCTACAGTATGCGACGTGCAAAGCATTGAGTTGGGTTGGTCGGTGGTGATAGGTGTGGTGTATGAGATTTTTGTATAGAAATACTTAGTACATGGAATTTAAATAAAGAATTAGCTTGTTGTTGATTAACATTATCCACTCTTCCCCTTTTCTTTTCTTCTCTCTTTTTTATTTCTCTCTTTAGGGAGAACTAGCCCCTGTTTCCCCCTGGATCTGTTTGCTCCTACAGCTGTAGGTCTCGATATTGATTGATTATAAAGGAGTATGTTTGTTTTTAATATGTAAAAAGTCGTGATTAGTAATCATTACTAAAGAAATGTATGCCAGTATACAGTAAGGCAAGAAAATGTATTAATGGTAAGCAGGTTTGGTCATGAATATTTTTAGAAGTTCAGAAGATATTTAGGGTTAAAGGTTAGTTGAATTAAAGTGCTGTTGCATTTGTTTTAACCTTTTAAAATTGTTTATACCAGCACATATGAAGTTACATAGTTACAAAAAGTCCCACCTAACAATTTTTTGTCCCTAGTTTTTATTTGGCAGATTTTAACCAGTAAATGAAAATTAAAATAAATTATAATCCATTATCACATATCTAAGTAAAAAAGTGGTATTTCACAAAATATCCTTTTTCTATAAAACTCTCAATATTATTGACAGTTTTTACCAAGATTGAACTTTGGTATTTAAAAAGTCAAAACATCAGATCAGCTAAGTGTTAGGTATTCCCTGTTAAATATCATTCCTTTCCACTACAAAATTCCACAAAAAAAAATAATGTTTTTGTTTGATTTTGCGTTTTAAACAAATACAATTGAAACCAAAACACCAGTATTTGTAGATGCCTGGATTTTATATTAGCCACTACTTAATAGCGGTTTTAATTAATTGAGTGATTGATTTTATTCAGTACCATTACTGTAGTACCATTGCATACAAAAAATACAAAGCAAACAAAAACAGAAAAGACAAGGAAATGATACTAAGGATGATCCAAGAAAGTAAAAAAGAAACCTTATGCATTAACAAGCAAAAAAGCAGAAGTAAAAAAAAACAGCAGTTTCACAATCTCAAGTAAACTGTAAAGATTGCTCTTTTTTTTCTACTAAAATATTACTGTTTTATTTTTCACCTGCATCCCACAACAAATAACTTGCCATTAGAGGATGAAGTGATGCTTCATAAATTGATTCAAAGTCCATTAATGACAAGTATTTAAAAACACAGCTTTTAAAACATTCAAATTGTTAAATGCTTTTTTCTCAGACTTTCCCAAAAACGGAAGGATGGCCATTTCCCGAATATGAAGGTGCTTGTGGGAGATTCATTGTTGAGGAAAACATCGGACCCTCGTTAGGTACGTTCTTTCACCATCCTTGGGAGGAACGTGTTAAGCTAGCTTATCAAGTAAGTTTGACATTTATTTTTGGAATTATAGTATTCTTGCCCTATATTCTGTTACTTTTCCAAATGTTGTTTGATGTAATGAATTTATTCGGTTGGCGCACCGGTTGTGGCTTGGACTCCCAACCTTGAGGTCGGGGGTTCGAAACTCTGGCTGTGCAAATCGCTTGTGTCCTTGGGCAAGACACTTTATCTACGGTTGCCTCTCTCCACCCAGGAGTACAAGTGGGTACCTGGTAGGTTCCAACACAACCTGCGCTGATTACTAGCTGCAATTTATGGAATGATAATATAATTTCATTTACTAATTTAATTTGGTGTTTCAATGTGTTCCATATGTGTTTGATCCATTGACCAGGGTAGTAATGTGAAGCGCTTAGAGGCCTTGTAAAGGCATGAAGCGCTATATAAGAACGACATATTATTATTATTAAACACCAAGGATAGCCCACGGAATTCTAGAATTTTCCCAGTGGGGTCCTTTTGGTGTTGATTGGGCAGTACACCGGGAGACAATCATCTACTCTTTTCCAAAGTATGTACTGCGTTCTTTATCGAGCACATAGGCCATAAATGCACACGGGACCAACGGCTTAAATGTCTCATCCAAAAGGCGGTGCGCTATTGTAACACAAGGAGAGACAGCAACGGGAATTGAAATGGAGGGACCTGGAGATCTCCACGGTTCAGTGCACACACAGTGGCTACCACCAGATTAGCTGACTGCGCAAAGCTGCTCTACTCTATATGTATGTAATGTAGTTAGATTTACAATTTAACTTGCTAAAAGTCAAATCCAAAATCACATTGAATTGTTCGACTTGGATAAAATTCGCCTTTACAGATCGTAATGGAAAATACAACAACTTGGCATGTAAATAAGGTCAACTTACAAATTATTTGAGTAATTGGCAAAGTCGACTTAGGCAGGTTTGACTGTACCGTATATAGCGCATTATACCAAAGTCGCCAAGTGTTTAAATGCATGGACTAGCTTGTATAGTTACTTATTTCTTCCCTAATAAAGCAGGGGACTGTGTTGTACGATCTTTGGCCGATGAATCTGATTCCTCTCCCTGTGAGCGTTAAGCCGGACACTCACTGCACCATGCGCTATTCTATGGAGGACGCAATGTCGAGAAGTGTGCACAACGGATCGTTTTTTATGACAAACTGTTTTATTGGCATTGACAATCAACAGATGACTTTGAGTCGTCTATAACCGCACGACCGTTGTACAATGCAGTGAGTGTCCGGCTTTTGACAGTACGACAACATTTGCCGACATCATCGTCATATTTTCAATACACAAATATATCGGTGCAGTAATTGTCTACAAGTTTATGATTTATGATATCTCTTTTGTATAAAAAGTGATATGATACCCTCAAAATATCAGCTCAGGCATTTATTTACTTGATTCTCTCAAATAAAACAAATGAAATATAATAAAAAGGATACACAATGCTATTAAATCTCCAGTAGTCTTGTGCTAAATGCACACTAGTTGCTTAAAGTGTGAACAATCCTGTATATTCTGGCACTAGAGGAGCTTGTCAAGTAGTAAAGCACTTTCCCTTAGATATCTTTTCCTCTCCAAGCCCCTGGGGGCTCTGATGTTTTAGCTCTACAAGAGCCATATTTGGTTGAATTTCAACTAAAATTAGTTACTGATTTTCGTTTTTTTTGTTTACAATAGATTAGAATACTCAATTGAAATTAACACAATAATCATTAATTATTGCCTCTAAATCTGTTATTGAGGGGCGCTCTAACTGTTTCAATGTTCTATTTAATAGAAAAGTAATATTTTTTTTAATAATTTTTAGAAGCCGTTTATTGAATGACCCCAGGCCCCAGTGCTTTGCACTGGCTGCACTGCCCATACCTATGCCACTGCTAATCATACATATCATCATAATCTTTATCAAAAGTAAGTCATCATCCTTCATAAAATTTATCGGGACATCCAATTTATCACATCCACCTTTTTCAGACAATTTAAGTTGATTTTTATTATCTGTATAATTTTAGGTACTTTATGAAATATCCCTGTTTACGTTCAAATCTTTTTTTTCTATTTTGTAAAATAATTCTTTTAATGTAATACTGTATATTAAGACATAAAATGTAGCTTTAATAGTTAAATAAAATTATGTCATCATCATCATCATCATCATCATTGTCATAATCGTTTTCATAATCATCATCTTTATCATAAATCATCCCAGTCATTATGCCTATAATCAGATATCGTTGCATAGTCCCTCTTTCATTTTTCAGTCCCTTTTTTTTTTATTGAGGAAAATAATTTTGCCTCAAAGGTAATTGAACATAATCATAACCTTCATCAAGATCATATTCATTACTGTCATAATCTTTGTCACTGTTGTCATCAATTATAACAATCTTTCTCATCATAGATATAAAAGGTTCATAAGTTCACAGTATTCATCCAATGCATTACAAAATTATAGAGTAGTGTAAATTCAAAGCATGTCTTGTAGTTTCGCAAATATAATTATATTCTGGATAACATTCATAAGTTGTTGCATTTTCAGTAATTATAAATATATTGAAGCCCAGAATATATGAATGTTTTATTGTAAATGTTAATTATAATCTGTTTGAGTAATTTAACACAACAATCCATCTAAAATGCAATTTGTACTTTCTGTACTTCACACATTTACATCACGATTCTCTTTTAAATTCCTGTTTGTGTGAAATTTCCTCGGCTGAAAATCTTAAAATTTCTTTTGTACAACATGACATGAATATTAATAATTGAGATGTGTTGTGTTCACGTACAGCAAAAACAACACATAAAAATTACACATAAAATTTCAACGGAAAATTTTATTCAAAATAAAATGACTGTTAATTATACTATTTAGGCGATCATGACTTTCTACAATTCTGTGTCTTTGCAGCTTCCAGAGACAGAGAATTGTGGAAAGTCATGACCGCCAACGTACTATGACACGGTACACGATGATGATAAAGATGATGATGTTTTACTATTTGATTTGATACATATATGAGTAGGCCTAAATGCTGATAAAATAAAATTTAAACCTTAAAACAATTTGCTACCTTTCTGTCTCAGACAGCTGGCCATTTTCAGGGTGAAAAAATTATTTGTTGTGAAGAAAAAGGTTGGTATTTTTACAAATTGTGAGACTCTAAGGTCAATGAATAAGCTATTTAAATCCCAATGTTTTGGGACCTTCCAGGGGGCTTTACCCTAGACCCCTTCAGTGACCCAAGACAGCCCCAGTGGCCAGCCACACCTAATTTCTTCACCTTCAGGGACATCTGACCCTAAGTTGGATACCTAATAGTGCTTCCCTCTCAAAATAAACAATTCACTCTGTTGAAGTTTACACTACAGGTACATAGCACTAATGTTAAAGACCTTTATTATAATAATATTTTATTATGGTAAAAACAACTTCAACAATTATTAGGCAAGACTTTTTTTATCTTGTTTTGCGAACCAGCCGCCTACCAATATTAATGATTTTGAATAAAAATAAAATGTTATTTTTAACCAATATTTTTTCTGCCCTCCTGGCGATCTTTAAAAAAATAAATTTTTTGAAACAAGGTATAAAAATAGTCTCACCTTATACAACTAGAACATTACCATGTTAAGTGATTTGCTACACTGGAAGGACCTACCATGTCTAATGATAATAATAATATTTTTTTTGGCATCGTTAGTACTTTCCACTTAACATCACAAAGTGCTTTTACATGATTGCCGTGGTCATTTGAAACATTAACAATACAGAATGTATGTTGCAACATTGTTTGTTCCCTGAATGGAATTTTTACACCATGAATATTTAACATAAATAAACATACATTAAATAGAAAACGTTTGCATCCTTAAAAAGGGACCCAATAAATTCACAAAAACAAAAGATTGTCATGCATATTGATCAACAGTTGGCAGATTCAGGAAATTGAAATAGAGGGGGTCTTGAAAGTTAATTTTACAGATGGGAGGATCTAGACCACTTCAAGCCCCACCATGGTTGGGGAAACGAGGTACGAAATGTTATGTAAATATGGCACAGAAGGCTGGAAATGGCACTCTTGGACTGAACAATTTGAATTTAATTTTCTTTTAGTATTCACCCCCATTTTTTCTTATTCTGAAAATTTTAGAGGGTGGTGGGAGTGGAAATGGGCCTTCCCCTTGCATCCAAAGCAAGTGACATGTGAAAATCATGGTAGGTGTCAGAATCTTTTCTATGGGTTTTCCTAGTCATTGATTGATCTCACCTAAATAAATTTTGCCTAAAATGTAACCACTGGGTGAACATTTACATTTTATATACATCGATTATAGTTTGGCTCATACAACATACATCTTTTGATGGTTCTAGAGGACATTTTATGTGGTTCCTTTTGATGTTAAGTTTCCATTATGTTCCATTAACCTAGGTCAAGGATTTGATAAAATTTCTCGCCATCATGCAGGAATTGGATAAATGACTGTTAAACTGATTCTTATATCAAATACTATACTGTACATTGATTTAGCAGCTTTGAATTCCCATGGATCTGCACTTTTTTGTTACGCAACTAAACGTCAATGTTAAACGTTTTATAGGCTAAGGAATAATAAATCATAAAGATCTGACCTGAACTTTTGTAAAATATACTAGAACCATTCGTCAGTATAGTTCATGGTATACCCAATTTATTGGCCTTCCTTGTTTTCCATTTTCCTGCTTATCTTTTTCCTTGTCCTCTTCTTTTACACTTCAATTTGAAAAATTGCTTTCGGGTACATTAAAACCTAAACGTATTCACCGTAAATTCTTCCTTTTTTTATGTCTTTACACTAATGTAGTTTTACGTGTCTTTATAATATGGAACATTCTTCTCGCATTACATCATTTAATACATAGTAATATTGACTTTCATGCTGTAAAAGGCTCGAGATATCTGCAGTTCTCGAATACAATAACTTTTAATGCACACAGTAC